AATCCAGGGAAAATCCTCCAGGTCCCGTTTGCTCTTGGAGCACCTGGCTCCAAAGGCAGCAGCACGGTTCCCAATTGTTGGGGACAGACAAACAGCCCTGGAGGATCCTGGTGTGGACATCCATGTCAGGATGGGGTGACTCCATCCCACCTTGGCCTCTCCATGAGCTGGGGAAGGAGTTGTAATTCCAGGTGCTGTGATTTCAGCAGGACACCCAGACTGGGACAAGTGGGCCAAGGCCCCTTGGCCTCCAACATGAACAAGGAACATGGGGAAAAGATGAAACACAGGGGAAAAGATGAAACACTGGGAGAGATGAATCCCAGCTTCTCTAGGAAGTGTGTGAGCCCCTCACCACCAGGTTGGGAGAGGGCAGGATCAGGCCATCATCTCTTTTTCTCTACTCGCCTGCTGTAGGAAAAAACATCTTTGGCTCAGGAGTTTTTTCCCAACAGTTCATCTTTCCTGCTCTTCCACAGGTTTCCCCCCTCACAAAAAACCCTGAAACAGATTTTTCTGATTTATTTCCTTTCTCCACCTTGTTCCCCACCCCACCTCAATGTGTTTGCGCAGCACAAGAATTTCACCCCGTGTTCCTTCTCTGTCCTTCTGTGGTCGCTGCAGGTGGGCTGTAAAGTAGCTGTCACCTTCTTCCTCTACTTCCTGGCTACCAATTACTACTGGATCCTGGTGGAAGGGCTCTATCTCCACAGCCTCATCTTCATGGCATTTTTCTCGGAGAAGAAATATCTCTGGGGATTCACATTATTTGGCTGGGGTAAGTCATGGCTGCTCCTGGAAAAGTCTCTTGGAGGTGGTTCCTGAAGGAAGCTGTGGATGCACAGAAATATGGGAGAGGGGATGGAGGCAGGGAGCAACCCTTGTAAGGACAGGCTTTCCATCCTGGGATGTGATCATTTTTTTTTGTGGGGAGTTTTGAATAAGTTAGAGATGGGGCTTTTGAGTTTTAAAAAATAGGATTAAAAAAAAAAATCACAAGGCCTTTAATTATAAGACTTTTTAAGGAGTTATTGATTAATAAAACAATACTAATAAAGATATTTATATTTTAACCTAATCTTTAAATATTTTGACTTACAGTATAAACTTTCTTAGTTAATCAAATTATAATACACAAATTTATAATACTGTATTCTAATATTTTTGTTTACTTCTATAACTACTTTTATTTTTTCTATATCTTAAACTCTAAAACTCTAAACTTTATTTTACTTACTTTACGTTCCTTTATTTTAAACTATAAATCTACATTTTTATTTTTAATACCTAAATTTAAAAGCTTTTTCCCAAGTCTTAAATCAAATCCCGTGTTTAACTCTAAACTTTGATTTACAAATTCATCATGCTAAGAATTCCTTATATTTCAAATTCCAACACTGGGAAGTTTTTATCATTCTGGAATTGTGGNAGAAGGTATTAATCCACTTCCCAACCGCATGGGAGAGCAGGGAGCCGTGACCATCACCCTGCTCCCCATGAGGTGCTGGTGGGAGGAGCTGGGGCTCTGCAGGGCCAGAAGTGACCCTGGCTCCATCCAACAGCTGGACTGAACTTCCCAATCCTTCTTCTCCTCTTCCAGACGTTTGCACTGCACTAGGAACTACATCCACATGCACCTGTTTGTGTCCTTCATGCTGAGGGCCGTCAGCATCTTCGTGAAGGACGCGGTCCTGTACTCCGGGTCAGCCCTGGAGGAGATGGAGCGCATCTCCGAGGAGGACTTGAAATCCATCACGGAAGCACCTCCAGCGGATAAATCGCAGTTTGTGAGTATTCCCAGAGCAGTGGTTTCCCAGGATTCGTGTCTTTGTCCTCTCTGTTCAACACTTACCCTCTTTTGGGGAGTTTTCCACCCTACTCATCTTTCACAGCCTCTTCCCGTCCTTTCCCATTCTCGGTCCATTGGTTCAGAGGGATTCCCAGTTCCTGAGCTGAGGAAAAGCTGCTCCCGTGGCAGTAAAAGTTGATGGTTTGATTCCCATCTACATTGCCCTGACATCCCCTGGAATTTATGGCTGTGGAAACATTCCTGACCATCCCAGCACAAGGCACATCCAGCCTGGCTCACAGCACTTCCACGGATGGGGAATGCACGACTTTTCTCCCTCCCTCTTCCCATATGGAGAAAAAGACATTTTGGAAGGGAAAATGGGGGTAGGATGTGGTATTGTAGGAAAACCTCAGACAGAATCATTGAGTTGGAAAAGAATTCCAAGATCATCCAGCCTTGGAATTGCTGGTGGGTCCCCAATCCCAGCATTGTCCCCAGCCAGGAGCACTGAGTGCCACCTCAAGGAATTCCTTGGACACCTCCAGGGATGGGGACTCCAAACCTCCCTGGGCATCCCCTTCCAAGGCCTGAGCATCCTTTCCATGGGGAAATTCCTCCTGGTGTCCAAGCTGAACTTCAGGCTCCATTTATGGTTGGGTTGAGTCAATGCAGTCAGCCCAACATCCCAAAATAAAAATGGAAGAGACGTCAGTTGGACTCTTCTCCAAAATTCCATGGGGATTTCACTCTATAGAAATCTCTGATGGCAAGATCTGCATTCTCCATGTGCTTGGAGGGATGAAGCCCATCCTCAATTTCCCACATCTTGCTCTCCTTGTTGTTGGTCCCATCATGGATTTCCCGTGGAAACCCAGGAGTTTGTAAAGCGCTTTGGGTTCCTTTGGGATGAAAATGCTGCGAAATTCCCAGGCATGGGATGAACCCCCACTCCATCATGAATCCCTTGCCAAATTCCCAGCTGAGCAGGCATTTTGTCCAGGTGAAAATTCCCAAGTGATCGCTGAGTTGGGCCAGGAGTTTGTTGGTTTGTTGGAACCACTTTGGGTTCCTTTGGGATGAAAATGCCGTGAAATTCCCAGGTATGGGTGGGATCAAGCACACTCCATCATGAATCCCTTGTGAAAATCCCACCTCCCCACCTCAGGGAACACAAATCCCGCTTCCCAAGCTGCCAAAAAGATGGGATTCCCAAAGGATCTGGGCTCTGCGTGTTGCCCAGATCCTTCTCACCTTCTCACTTCCCACAGCTCCTGCCAGGATGGAACAGCTCAGTTGATCAGGCTCTGCTCCAGGGAACGGGGACAGGAGCAGAGGGAACGGCCTCAGGCTGGGCCAGGGTTGGACACCAGCAGGAATTTCCCCATGGAAAGGGGGCTCAGGCCTTGGAATTGCCCAGGGAGGTTTGGAATCCCCACCCCTGGAGGTGCCCAAGGAATTCCTGGATGTGGCACTCAGAGCTCTGGTGGGAATCAGGCACAGCTTGGACTCAATGGTCATGGAAGTCTTTTCCAACCTCAAGGATTCAGGGATCAAATTCCTGCTTTTGGATTTCCTTGGCTTCTCAAGTCTTTCCCAGCTTATGCTACCACCAGGGACCAGCAACACCCTGTGAAAAATCAGAGGGTTTGGGAATGTCCCACTGTGCATCCGAGTGTCCCAACAGGAACGTTGTCATTGTGTTCCTTTCCCACCCTGGACATCCGTGTCATTAATTTGCAGAGTCTCGCTCAACACGCTCCAAAACTCTCATTTTTTTTGGAAAGAACACAAAATGTTTCACTGCATTGTTTGGTGTTTCTCCTCTTGCTGGGCTCATTATAAGGAATAATTAGGATAATCTATGGCATTCTTCGGATATTAGCATTTAATGGCATTTCCCACTCTTTGGAATTGCAAGGCAAACAAGCAATGAAGGCGACAATTAATGGATTTCTTTTGTTTCCAAACAAAGTGGGAACTTTGCAATTAGCGCCTCACTTTCCCTGCATGAGGCAATAAATATAAAAAATAAATATAGAAAATATTATCAAACCTAGATGGGGATTTTTTAATAAATATAAAAAATATTAATTTTAATTAAGGAGGATTTTTAATTAGTCTATTTTAACTCTCTCTGTCTATGAAAGAAAATTAGTGTAATGTATGCATATCTTATCAATACGCAAACATATGTATAGATGCATATATTGATGGACAAAAAATTAGCATAAAATCTGTGCCAAGATTTAAAAAATCTCTTTTTATTTCCAAGGTAGTATTATTGGCATTTTCTGTCAGTCCTTTGCATTCCTCTTAAAGGAAGGGACCGCACAAAGATGGACCAAGGGATGTGGCCGCCACAGAATTCCTGGGAAATCCAACTTCCCAGACTCTGCATTGACAAGATCTGGCTTTGTACTGATCAATCCCAAAGTGGCACCAATATTTTGCAGCCTGTCTCTNAATCCCTTGTGAAAATCCCACCTCCCCACCTCAGGGAACACAAACCCCACATCCCAAGCTGCCAAAAAAAAGACGGGATTCCCGAAGGATCTGGGCTCTGCGTGCTGCCAGGGTTGTGTGGTGCAGGAGGGCCGCGCTCCCCGTGTGACGCTGTTTTCTCCATCGTTTCTGCTGCAGGAGGTCTTTGATCGCCTCTATTTGATTTATACTGTTGGATACTCCATCTCCCTGGGATCCCTCACAGTTGCTGTCCTTATCCTGGGATACTTCAGGTAGGCGGCTCTGTTTTTACCTAAGCGACGCCGGAGAAGCCGCGGGTTTTTCCGGAAGGATAAAAAATTGGGGTGGCTCAGTTCAGGAAGCCACCAGTGGTGGTGGCATCTGTGATTTGGGCTGGTTTAGGGTATCCCAGGGCAAACTTCCTGGGGGATGGCGGGTGGGATTTTGGAATTCCTTCCTCTTCCCTCAGGTGGAGTTTTCCAGGCCCTCTTTGTAGTAAATGGGAAGAGGAGTGTCTCCAGGAATCCCTTGGAATACTGTCCAGGATTTTCTGTCCCTGTTGTCCCTGCAGCTGACTAGCTTAGCTTTAGATGGCTGATTTGCAGAGAAATAGGATTCCCTGAGGGAAATCCCTAAGTCTGAATTTTCATGAAGGATAAACCAGTTGGAAGAGATGGAAAACTCCAAGGCTGATTCCTCCAATCTCCTCACACCGCTGCTCTTCCCAGGGATCCAAAAATGACCCTCCTGACTCCATTGTGTCCCCTCCCTTCCCACTATCCCTGCCAAGGCATTTAGACCCCAAAATGCCACTTTGAACCCTCATTATCCATTCCTCAATCCACTGGTGCAGCTTCCATCCCTGGAAGTGTCCAAGGCCAGGTTGGACAGGNGGTGTTACCATTCTGGAATTGGGGTGTTTTTCACTGTGGCCCTTCCAGGCTCTCCAGAAGGGTCAGCCCAGGCTTGGAGAGGCAGCCCAAAGAGCCAGGGAATCCCAGGATGGGATGGGGTTGGAAGGGACCTCAAATCCCACCCAGTGCCACCCCTGCCATGGGCAGGGACATCTCCCGTTATCCCAGGTTGCTCCAAGCCCCAATGTCCAAACCTGCCACAAATCTCTGGTGGTGCCTCACCACCCTCAACATTTGGCCACCCTTCCAGGGCAGGAAATGTGAGGGCTAAATTTGGGATGAGACAGCCAATTTCAGGGATTTATCCCCACCTCTTCCCAGGATCTCCTGCTGAGAAACCAGTGCTGAGCTGGAGGGGCAGAAATCTGTGGGAGGTTTTGAGCATCTGCTCCCAATGAGAGCCCCAAGCTCTGATTTCCTCCCTCAAACCTCAGCTGGTTCAAATCCTTGAGGTCTCCTGAGCCTTGGAACACCACTGGAAACCTGCAATTTGTGGGGAAGAGTTTTATATTTTCCTTTTCTTTCAACTTGGGCATCTTTTCCCTGAGTAACGAGAAAGGGGCGGGATGTGGGTGCAGGGAAGGGGCTCATTAGGAGAAGACATTTTGG